CTCCATTCTGCTCCCACTGTGAAATCTCACCCCCAACCACATGTCCCATCTCAGGGCCCAGTTCCACTGCAGCTTCTTCCCGCCACGGAATTCCCACAGCACTTTCTCTGAGCCTCCATTGGGCCACTCTGCACACCCTCTGTGCCATAGCAACTGTATCCTTCTGCCTTCTCACCTGTCCCTCCCACCGCTGGGATCCTGTTGGTCTCACCTGTGTGTCCACACTCCGCGTCCTGTGTGGACCTCTGTACGGAGGGTTTGTAGGCTGGATGAGTGGACCTTGGAGAATGAAGGTGGCCTTCTGAGCCAGCCCAGCCCACCCAGGTTATAGCAGGAGGGTTAGACACCAACTCTGCTACCAAACGGAGCCTCAAATCACCATGACTCAAGCCCTGGAAGACACACTGACCTTCACAGGCCTCTGGGAATTTTTCCTTTAACTTCTCTGGTGGCCCAGGGTCTGTAAATAAGACTTTTTTTTCAACCAGAAAGGACCATAAGTCTTTGGGGTCCAATTGGCTCATTCTCCAAACTGCAGAAATGGAAAGTAACCAGCCTCCAGGTCACATAGTGGCAAAGAGAGCTGTGGAACCATGACCTCAGGACATTCTATTTAGAGCTCTCTCCCAGGACCAGGGGAGCACCCCCTGGCCCATCTTTAAGAGCTCAGCCAGGCAGAGTTAGAGCGCAGCTCCCTCAGCATGTCCAGGACACCCAAGGACAGAGGGGTCGGGCATCAGGATTATGTACTTGGACCTGTAAGTGAGGCCAAGGAGCCACTGAGGACAGTGCCCTGTGGGAGTCGTGTTTTCCCTTCCTTGGTAAGCGTTTTTTAATATTTCAAGATAAATAAATAAATTCACCCACATTTTACACAGGCATATGCACATATGTCTATGAGGGACCTTCAAAAAGTTCATGGGAAATTTCTATCATATTTTTGAAAGTGTTTATATACATATATCTACATACACATACATACACACACGTAAGGTCATACACACACACACACACACACACAGCCACACACACAAAACACTGCCATCCAGTCAATCCCAACTCACTTCGACCCTGTATAGGGTTTCTGAGCTGTCAACCTTCCTAGTAGCAGACAGCCTCATTGATCTTTATCCTGTAGAGCAGCTGGTGGGTTTGAACCTCTGACCTTAAGGTGAGAAGTCCAATGCTTACCTGACAGTGCCACCAGGGAGATATATATAAAGCCCATTGCTGTCGAATTGAGTCAGGCTCAGGGGGACCCTCTAGGACAGAGTAGAACTGCCCCACAGGGTTTCCAAGTTCATAACCTTTATGGAAGCTGACTGCCCCATCTTCCTCCCATGGAGGGGCTGGTAGCTCCAAAATATAACCTTCTAGTCAGTAGCTGGGCACTTTAACCACTGTGCCACCAGGGTTCTGTCTCTCTATGTCCATATATGTATATCATATGTTTTATATAATATATATACGTGTTGTACATACACACACACAAACACATATATCCACACAGGAGAGGGAGCTTTAGAAAGTTCATTATCTTGTACCTCCATTTTTCTACAAACTATTGGAAACCCCCCTGTGGGGGGAGGTCAGATGCTTACAGACATCTTCCCTGGAGAAGTTAGCCACCAGACTACTATGTTAGGGCCTGCTTCCTGCTGCTGCGGACAG